GCACGAAATCCTTCCAGAATGTCCCATTCGCTGGATTTCGGCCTCCGGATGGTCGACTGCAGGGGTAGGACATCAGCTCCAGGATAGGAAGTTGAGCCAGCGCAGAAGCGACCTCAAAGTCTACGGGCGATGTAACGTATAGTTCCCCCTCACCGCAGCTCTGCTGCCCTCGTGTAAAATGCGCGGCTGGGTTGTTGGGGGCTGGGCAGGGTAATCACAGCATTCTGGATGTTTTCTCCGTTGGTTCCAAATTACACCTTTCAGGGGAACGATGTTCTTTGGTGCTGATTAAACCCTGCTGACAAGTGCATCCCACGCGATATACAGGTTGTCGATTCCAACCTTGGCGGATTCCATGACTCGTTGGTCACTGTACGAGCCAGGTCCCTGGATATAGGCTGCATGTAAGACGGCATCAATGACACCACCTGGATGATACAAATAAGACCATGTCGTCTGCTGCCAAAGGCTAGTGTGCTGCACCTCCGCCACCTTCGACGTTCTCAAGTCATCAAGTACAATGCGGCTCCTCTCCTCTCTGTCGCTTCTCGTCACGGCGGTTTCCGCCCTCACCGTGAGAGTCCCATCCGTTGCAGAGGACTTGAAGACGCTCGTAGCAGCATCGTCGTCAGTAGCTGTTGACCTCCGTGCGAGATGGAGTACATACCATGCTCCCATCCCGTCCATCGTGGTGAATGTGACGACGGAGAAGGATGTTGGTGCAGTTGTGAGTTTTTCCATCAAACGTCGCATCATGAGCTAAGTTCCCTGATTTTTGTACCAGGTCAAATACTGTGCGAGCCGTAAGATACCTTTCACAGCTCAGAACGGCGGTAACGGCTGGGGCAAGACTTTCAACCTAGGCAATAACGGAGTCATCATTAACTTGGCTGGTCTGAATGCCGTCACTTTCAGCAAGACGAAGACGGAAGCCACTATCGGAGGCGGGGCCATCATTGGCGACACAATCAAAGCAGCCAATGCTGCGGGTGTATTGGTCCAGACGGGCAACTGCAACTGTGTTGGTGCCCTTGGTGCCATCCTGGGAGGCGGTTACGGTTAGTGCACGACACTGACATAACAAGACAGACCTTGAACTAACAGCATGACAGGGAATCAAATGGGAGAAGTCGGCTTTGGCGTTGACAATGTGCTCTCCATGCGCGTTGCAGTCGCGAGCGGAGAGATCCTTACGGCCTCGCCGACCTCCAACCCAGACCTCTTCTGGGCCCTCCGCGGCGCCGGACCCAACTTTGGCATCGTCATCTCGGCGACGGTCAAGGCGCGGCCCATGCCGACCGAAGGCCGCAACGCCTGGCTCATGAATCTCTTCTTCTCGCCGGACAAGCTCCCGCAAGTCGCCCAAGCCATCCAAGACCTGCCCCTGAAACCGGAGCAAGTCGTCTACCTCGTCCTCACCAACTCGGGGCCACCATCTAATGCCCCCGCCGTCCTCGTCACCGGATTCCTGCGTCAAGGCAACGATGTGACTGGACGTGCGGCGTTCGCGCCGCTGTATAAGCTTGGCCCGATCTCGAACAGCAGCAGCGTGGCCGGGTACGAAGGCTGGAACGCGGGCAACGACAACTTTTGCGCGCGCGAGGAGCGCAAGCCGGCGTATAGCACGACCATCAACCACATGCAGCCTGAGACGTGGCCGGCGATATGGGACCTGTACACGAAATTTCAAGCCAAGGGGCCCAACTCGGCTGTGCTGATTGAGCGGTATAACCTGACCAAGGCGCAGTCTGTACCCAAGGGGTCTGCGGCGCTGCAGGAGGCGTTGAGGAGGGACGCGTTTGCGCAGGCGATTGTGATTCCTTGGTACACTGATGCTTCGCTGGACGGTGAGGCGGAGGCGTTTGCGAGCAAGGTGAGGGATATTTGGAGTTATTCGCCGAGTGCGGTGGCTAATCCGACTTATGTCAACTTTGCGCATGGCGATGAGACGCCTGAGGCGGTGTATGGGTCGAGTTTGGCGAGATTGAGGGAGCTGAAGAAGAAATGGGATCCTTTGGGGGCTTTTAATCAGTGGTTTCCAGTTGGGGCATGAAGTATTGGTTCGTCACGACTTTGATCAAAATCTTTGAATGGTATAGCTATGGTCTCTGGGTAAAGTCGCGCCCTGTCCATTGGCGTTCATCCGACTCTAATATATCGAGTTGCCAAATCTCATGACTCTAGCTTCTGGACCTTAATGGCCAGGGCCAACGTCCCGATAGCGGCATGTTAACAAAGACGGTGTTTAGTGATGGCGGTTGGCTGGAACATCGGACATGACATTTCTGGGCTATCCTTGACTATGCGGACAAGGAACCACGGGCATCATCGGATAGCCGGGCATCGCGGACCCAAGGTACATGATTGTATTCCATCCCTATGAGAAGACGCCGATTCCAAGACCACATACTTCCGATACATTGATCAGTGGCATCTCCCCTAGTTTTTCAAGAATAGGGCGTATCCCTTTCTCCTACATCGTCTTCTCAATTCAATCATATCACTATTCTGAACCAAGTAGCCGATGCTAGGTCTGTGTGTAGAGCCAATACTTTCCGTGGAAGGCGCAAATGAGTGCAGTGAATGTGGACTTTAAGGATTACGAACAGTAGCGGATTCGAGTCCGAGCTCCATTTGGAAAGTGCGGCCCCACCTCGGCTCCGGATGTATATGCGCCGGACCGGTAGCCTGGGACTCGATCATAAATCGGACGGGACCTGGATCGGTTCCTTGTCAGATGAATAAGATCCCAGCAGCGGATGGAGGGGTCTGGATTTAAGTGGCCCAGTGTCTCGGACAAAGCAGTCGGTGGTCTGACGTCGTTAGGGAAGCATTGATGACATAATCTGTAGTTGTACTCCGTACCTTGATCACCTTAAGGTAGACGAAGTGCGCCCGGAGATGAGGTAGCTTCAACGGTAGTGCACCGGTGGCCCTGGTGGCTTGGGATTCAGGAACCTATTTCTGTGGCCACCACGGGCCTGAACGCAAAGGAAGCTCGGTCGGTCGGCCGGCTGATTAGAGCCTCAGAGGTGCATCCGCTAGGGATGGCGTTGAATCTTTTGTCAGATTGTGGTGTGACTTGCAGCGCACCAACTGTCAAAGACCCGGAGCTAAGGAAAAGTGATGATGGTGGTTTGTTTGTCAGGGCATAGGCATGAGAGAAGAGGATGCAAACAAAACAACAAACGGATCTTGCCATGTCAATGATTCCTTTAAGGGACGGCTTCCTGCATCCCTTGGTCCCTTTGCTAGGTAGATACGAATTACAACAAGACCTATTGCATTGTACATTGTCTACGCATTATCAGGAGAAAGGGGATGGGTAACGTAGGCTCGTCTCTTGATTCTTTGACTTGGGCAATCAACCGTTCCTCCGGATAGGGACCAAGATGAATGAATTGGCCCGAGGTGAGCTTCCCCTTCACCTTTTGAGGTGACTACACAGTACGCAGTACCAAGGTACCTTAAGGTGAGGAACCTTCCAATCGGTCGGTACGTGCCTTTATAGTGGGTTGTGGCTATAGCTCTCCAGAGCCAGACGATCTTGTGCCAATTAGATCGAAGTTGGAAGCTCCAAGCTCGGAGTACGTACCGGGAAGATCGAACCGCTTTTTATTTTTTTTCCTCTTCTCTCAGGTTCCTGCGGGGGTAAAATTTTGTGACGCAGCCCCGGTTTTTGTCATCATCGGATTTTTTTATTTTTATTTTCGGTCTCTGGTTTTTTGTTTTTGGGCCTGACCCAAGCACCGGCCCATGATCTGTGAGTGAGTGAGTGAGTGCTCCCTGAACCAGCTTCAATATCTCTCCGGGTAGGAGCAGGAAGCACCAACTCCAGCTGCAGTTCTTTCCTTGGCCCTGGGTGGATGCCTCTCTGCATACAGGAAGGAAGGTACAGATACTTGATGCCTCAGTGACTTCCATTTACGTGACCAACGTCCCAAGACCTTAAAACAAAAACAGAAACGGTCAAGCCAGGCAGGGACGGAAGCTTCCTCTTCCTCTTGCTCTTGCTCGCACCTTCCTTCTTCCCATCTTATTAATCGCTGGCTCTTGGACGTTTATGTTCCACCTCCACCTCCACCAACAACACCCAAGTACCTTAACCTGTGACCCAACATTCAAACACCCCGTCATCCAAAGGGCCAAGAACGTCAAGACTCAAACGGCCCGTCTTCTTGTCTTCTGCTTCTTCTTCTGCTTCTTCTTCTTCTTCCTCTTTCTACCCCTTGATCCTTTGCTCCTCCACTTTCTTCTGCTTGACATCCCATTGTCACGCCTCTTTCACCACGCTTGGGACCCTCCACTCCACTCCCTCACGTCTCCCCTCTCCTCATCCGTCCGTACGGATACCTTTGACCTTGCCTTACCTCATCACGCAGCAGAACCGCCTGAAGCTGCTCGCTGATCTGTTCTGTCGTGCCTCGCTTTGGCATAACTCCCTCCCACTTCTCTTCTTTTCCCTCTTTGCATCTCGCTATTCTGATTCTTGCTTCCTCCTGCATTCGCCGTCTGGAGACATTGGTGGCACGCATCAGCACCCGCATATCCCCTCTATCATGCGCAGCCCACACAAAAAGAGTCACTAGCTCTGCTTGACAGTTACCTTGCCCCCCCCCCCCCTTCCCCCTTCCAAGGCCACACCACAACACAACTTACAATTTGCGACTCTTCCATCCAGCTCGACCGCCTTTCTTTCTCCCTCAGAGATATCCACTTTCTCGTCGGAGTAGTGTAGTTTACTCTGCGGAGAGACCGCCCTGAGTCTGAGCCTTCCAAGTATTGCCGCTATCGCCGAACCGACAACAGCTGCTACCGCCTACCGCGAACAACCCCCGGCTCCTACTCCTCGTGTGGCCCCGGCACACACAGCAGCCCATCCACTTTCAATCTTGGGGCCCGGTCCGCCAAGTCAAAGACCGCTTCTCCTTGCGCTGCGAGCTCAACAGCACCCTTCCAACATCACCACCACACAACCCTCCCGCCCAGCCTCGCCCACCATGGCTCCCAACGGCAATCCGAAGGCGAGGAACGGTGCCGGTGTCGCCCATGGAAGGCCCAACGCTGCAAGGCGTGTGATTCCCGTCATTCCCCTCCCCATGGACCGTCGCGTCAAGGCCAATGCTGCTGCAAAGCAGGCCGCCACTATTGCGACCATTCCTCGACCCGCCATCACGAACGGCTCTTCCTTGAAAATTCAGCACGACGTCGACTCCGCCCCCAGCACGCCCAAGACCATCGATATCGAGATTGCCACACACGAAAACGACAAGGGACAGCCCGTTGCTGCTACCAATGGTGCTGAGGAGACGCCTTCGCCTGCCGACCCGGAAGTCGATGACACAAAGGATCGCGGAGGTATGCAGGAATTTTTTGCCAGGTTTCAACGCATTCGGAGAACATCTCACTCACTCTTCTCTACTAGCTACCGATTCCCAGGAGTCTTCTGCCGCCATTCCGACCCCGTCCACGACCGAAGAGTCCGAATCGACCGACAAGACCGCCGACCAAGACCTCCCCCGCTCTGCTGAAGAGCCTGTTCGAGGTATGCCCGCTCTTGGCACTTGCAACTCTGGTCGCCACTACTCACACACCGCAGGTAATAATCACGTCGCCTCTCCGCCCGCGGTGGCCCAATTTGGTAAGAAGGGTAGGGACCTTCAATCTCGCGATATCCTCACGCCGCGAAGGTCTAATCACCATGCTACAGACAATACGCACCAGCAGCATCCGTCGACATTCCGACCCCCTCCCGTCATCCCTCCGACGCGTTACAACATGCCGCCTAATCCTCACAATGGCTCGCGCCCTTCTCCCGTCGTCATCAACGGTACCTCTCACCGGGGCCCCCGATCAGTTCACAACGGTCCTCCACACATGCATGGCCCGCGTCCCAGCAATGGAAGCCTTCAGTTTGGAGGTTTCGCGTCCAACTCGTCTTCTCCGGCGCCCCCTCACTCTGGAGGCTTCATGCCCCCTCCTGGCATGCCCCTCCCCGACGGACGATCCTTCGGCGGTGCTGCCAACGGTTTCCACCGCCAGATGCCCTACGGTACGGAATTTGTTCCCGGCACCGGTGTAGATGGATTCGGCCGACCTGTTCCAGGCTATGGAGGCATGGAGCAGTACCCTCCTCATCTCAACGGTGGCTACGGACCTTCGACTCCTCATAGTTTCCAGGGGTCGCACTCTTCGGCCCATGCGGATGATACTGGTGCCTACAACCACTACCCCGCGCCAGGCGTCCCCAACGGTACGACACATGTCGATGACGCTCGCCCTCACCCTCCTGCGGCCGGAGCTTTCGGTGCACCGCCCCAGCGAATGATGCCTGGGCCTATCCCGCCCCCGCATATGATGCACCCCGGCCACGAGCACCAGGGACTGGACGACATGGCCGCTTATCTGCGATCGCAGTTTAGAGACCCTGCCTTTGCCGACTGCACCCTGGAGCTTCGTTATCTCGACGACCGCGCTCCTCCCGTTCGCCTACCAGGTCACCGCCTGGTTCTTGCCAGAAGCCAAGCCGTTCGCAATGTTCTAGAGGCTGATAACGTCGAATCCAGCTCGCCCGGTGCTAACCGCACCATTCTTCTGCAGTCCGATGATAAGTACCTCCGATCTGATGCCTTCTGGATGGCCGTGCAGCACCTGTACGCCTTTCCGCTATTAGACATGCCTGAGCCAGCCTCGAATGGCAATTTCACCATGGCTGGCAACGCCGATGACCGCTTCGACTTTGCCCTTGGCTATGCTGCCGCCGGTCATATCCTGGCGTGGCAGCCTATTGTTTTCCGTGGCCTGGAGATAGCGTCTCATTCCCTTAGCTGGTCGACGATTGAGCGCGCTCTTGGCTTCGCCCTCGGCGATTTGCCTAGTCGCGCTTCAGCTGACAGACACAGCCAGTTCATTTATGGCGAACCTGTTCACGTTTTGATGAACGGCATCATCTCATTCATCATCAACAACTTCCCACCCGATTTCACCCTGGACACGTCTGTCGCCGATCCTGAGCGCTTTGCCCGACTTCCTATTGCTTCCACATCGATACCACCCCGCGAAGGAACACCCACGAATGCTCGCGGAACGGCGGGCCAAGATCGTCGCCCTCGCCCCATGCACATCCAGTTCGGTGACCTCGCTTTGGGCCCTGACAACACATCAAACGGCTCGGATTCGACCTCACAATCCTCTCAGCACAATAGCATCCGGTCGACGCTCTCAGCCATTCTCATCAACCTCCCGTTTGCGTACTTGAAGCCAGCCCTCGAGTCCAGTGGCTATGGTAATGTCAATGGATGGGCGAACGTCGAGGCTCGGCATCACATCATGCGGGCCGTCGTTTCTGAGCGGGAGAATAGACGCTCGAGAGTGATTGAGGCGGTCAGATCTGGAGCGGTTCCGCATGCCGAGTCCATCTTGCATAGCCTGCAGAGTGCCGATCCTCGTCAGAATGAGGAGTGGCATGCCCTTGGCTGGCGCGAGGATGTGGTCTCGTACGTTAACGGCGACGCGCCGTCTCTCGGCCGGCAGTGGGTTCCGTTGATGGCGCCGCAGCAGCAAAACGGCACCGGACATGTGGAGGTTACCAGCCGAGCGGCCTACCCTTGAGATGGTGCAATCTCGCAGCTAGGATTATGATGTTACGACACGGGAACTAAAAACACCAACAAGCAGTGGATGACCCGCAATGGACTGCAATCGCATTTGCATGATGGAGTACAAAAAGCGGCAGCAATTCCTTTTCTTAGGTTCAGGGCGAAGGTTTCGGCATTGCATATGGTGTTGGCAGTTTTCACTTTTTTTTCTTTCTCGGCAATGGAGCCAGAACATAAAAGCTTTGGGAAGCGCGCGGGCAGTCTCGCTCAGCGCCTTGTTTTTGCTGGTAATGGGCGTTTACTGCGCCAGTTTCCTTTGTATGCGCACGCAAACAATCTGACGAGGACTGGCCTTGGAGGACGCTCGTCCCTTTCTGATGCTGGCCGATTCCTTGGGGGACGGCTTGACAGAACGGGAAGGGCGTTTGGATGAGGATAGACGAAGGAATTCTGCAAAGATCCTTGAGCTACCCTAACTCAGGCAGGAAGGATGTCCTCAATCTACCGAGCCAGCCACGAATGACGATGGCATATGACGATATGAGGGGAACCAAAAAAATATGGCGAGGGAGGGACAAAAGTTCAGGCCAGGATATGGCTGCCGGTTGTGGGGATGAAGGATACCCAGGTTGAGTGAGATGAGAACGGCTACTCTGGTTTGCCGAGGAAGTAAAAGGCAGGGAGGAGGAGAATGGCAGGGCATGAGACGTGTGTTTTTAGCAAGGGAATGAATGGCTCGCGAGGCCGTAAGTGCGTGCATTGCGAAAATGGTACTCATTGAAGATTGACAAAGACGAAGTAAAATGTGATGATGAGGGACTCACTATGAGACTCAGTGAGCCTTTCTCTGTGAGATGTGTGTGAGATGGAGGTGAGGGAAACGGTAATGTCCAACTCAGGTGCCTCGGCTAACGTATCTTGAGATGCCTACCCACCTTATGAGCTGTGAGATGAGGTGTGACCACAAAGGCGACACAAGACTAGACTTGTTTGGCCAATGCAACGCTAACAGCAATATTCAACACGACAAAAGTCAACAAGATGAAAAAGACGAAAAACCAAGACGCGACTTGTGCTACGTTTGTGAGAGTGGATGATGCGATGCATGAAGTAGTCATTAAACTCGGGTTGTCTGCAAGTGACGAGTGTGGGGGAGTCCCCTGCTGCGGGGGGGACGCCTTGGGAATTAGTTGGGTTGCATGGGCCTATGGGAGGCACCCGTTTCCGTTTGTTTCTGCCCCTACGGATACTGGACCCCGAAAAGGTAAGGAACTATTCACTGTACTGTAGGGATTGAGGTGGGATAGTTCCAGGTTGGGCCTGAGAGCCGAGGCATGTGCTTTTGGAGCTTTCGGCCGCCCAAGGAAATGTTTCCCGTGACACTCTCTGACGGTTCCCCCCCGGACGGAACCTTGGGTGTTTGGCTCGAGGGGTTCCAGGTTGCTCCGTCCAGTCCGTTCCGTACCGTTCACATTCCTTCCTCCCACCATAACCACGCGCAGCAGCAACCATTTGGGACTTGCTTTTTCCATTGCTGTTGCTTTTTGCCTTTCTGCGCACTACACCATTTTAACTTCTTGCTTCTTCTTTCTCGCCTCACCTTCAACAGCTGTTGTTCTAACTTAATTGCGTCTTTCCAGAACTCGCGCGCGTAACCCTTCCCCTTTACCTCTGATACCACGACTATTTTACAGTACGTTCGTCATTGAAGCCATCACCGTGCACACGCACTTGGGCGATTGGCAGTCTGCCCAAGGTTTCGGCTTTGGCACGTGCTAACCAAGAGCTACTCCAGTTCGGACCAAGCACATTTTCCAACCACCAACCACCGAGGAACACACATCACACATAAACATAAGCAAGCACGCACTATTCGTACGACCACGATACTAGAACGACTACACCCTCTCCAAGGCCTCGATTCAAGTAACCGACACAAGTCTCTGCTGGCGTCGCTCACCTCTCCTATCAGGCGCCCCATCGCAGCCACTCACCACCACCATCCCGTCTCGCGATTATGGCCTCTGCCGCGACCTCGTCGTCGCGGCCAGGCCCGACAGCAGCCTCCCGTCCCTCGCAAACATCGAGCCCCAGGCCCTCCGCAGGCGGCCCTTCCTCTCGGCCGCCGCCCTCGCGCAATAGCATCACCGATCCCATTCTCCGAAACACCCTGCGATACACAATCTCCGCCAAGGAGTATGCCACCCTACACAAGTACGTCTTGTCGCGCTCGCGGCTGCTTAAGAGGGCTGCACCGAGCGTCACCGCTGTCGAGCGCATCGTCGATGGTGACAAGGCCGCTGTCGCAAGGCAAGGAAATGCTGCTCCCGCTGCTCCCGCTGGTGCTGGGGCTGGTGCTGGGCGAGCTGTTGACGATTATAATGCCCGCGCCGTGCGGCATTCGCTTCGCGTATTCTTGGGGACAGCCATGGCGTTGAAGGGTTGGGCTCTCATTTCTACCAAATTCCTGGGCGGAAAGCCAGAGTAAGTTGCCACTCCGATCAATCAAACAGGCGAGAAAGACGGTATGCTGACGATGTGCCTTGCACACTTCCAGCCCTAATGCCAAAAAGCAACCCCTCCACAAGTCACCAACCCTCCGACTCTCCCTCTCGCTTTCAGCTATCCTCCTTCTCTACCGCATCCTCTTCCGTTTCCTCAACCGCCTACGAGCGCACCTACTCGACCCATCAGCGGCGCCCTTCCGCCAGCGCAACCCGCGCACAACTGCGACCTTGACGTCCCCCTTCGCTCCGGCCATTGGCGCGTCTCTCGCTGGCGCATTCCTCGGCGTGTACCCCGCGCAGCAGTTGCGCGTCACCATTGCCATTTACACCTTGTTCAGAGCCCTCGAATTCGGCTGGAATCTGTGTGAAGAGGAGGGCATGATTTGGGGCTTCAAGAACGGTGGAAAGGTCAAGAGGGAGAGACCCTGGTGGTGGGGCAGCTGGCTCATCCAGCCCTTTGCCTTTGGACAACTGCTTCATGCTGTTGTCTTTGACCGGGATTGCTTCCCTGAGGTAAGGAATGCTGATGATCTTTGTAGTTGGGAAATGCTGACCCCTGACCAGTCATACGGAAACTTCATTTTCAAAAATTCAACAGCGTACATTCACCCCAGGCCAAACGACTACCCATCTCATCTCAAGTGGCCCAAGGCCATGGAGATTGTCGACAACCTTGCCCAGATGGCAAAGCTGAACTGGCCGTGAGTCTCCCTGAATATGTTCATAAAACCGCCTTTTCTAACAACAGCAGACCCTTTGTATCACCAACTCTCTTCCCGAACAAGGAAACACTGCCACCAACGCTCAGCGCTGTTGCACCTCTCACTTCATCAGCGCATCCCATCATCACTTCGCTATCATGCGCTACTCTTCATCCGTCCGACCCATCTTGCCTTCGGACGTACCTCAACTTCTGGCTTGGTTCTTTCCCCGGCCTCACCAAATTCTTCCTGGTCATTTACTCCGTCATGACCTTTGTTCCGCGGTTCCGCTCGCTGTATAATGCTCCCGTCACAACCTTGCAGCGTGTTATTGCCAAGTCGTTGCGGATGAGCACCTTCTTGACCGGTGCCATCTCCACTGCCTGGGCCAGCATTTGCTTCTTCCAACAGTGGTTCCCTCGCACATTCCTGCCAACTCAGAGGTTCTTCTTTGGAGGCTTCCTCGCCGGTCTGTGGGCGTGGGTGGAGCGCAAGAGCGGACGTGGTGTCTTCTTGTACTCGGCCCGCGTGAGCGTTGACTCTCTGTGGAAGGTCGGCGTCAAGAGAAGGTGGTGGAAGGCCATGAAGGGCGGAGACGTGTGGGTCTTTGTCATGGCGCTGATGCTGACCGGTGTTGTCTACGAAAGAGACGCGAGGGCTGTCAAGGAGGGCAGCTGGAGAAAGGGCATCAGCTGGGTCCGGGGCGAGGGTTTCAAGGACTGGAGCATCGAAGAGGAGTCTGAGGACGAGACTCTGTTGGAGAAGACCGACTAGAGTGCGGTGAGCGATTCTGCCCTGCCGTCGACGCCGCCTACGCCTTCTGGCTCGCCAGAGCATTTGGCCACGCAGTATCGAACAACCCTTCAGATGTGGGTGGAGGGGATGACGCGTGATTTTGAGTCGGACATCAAGCCTCCGATCTATTCTTCGCCTTCAACGGTCTCGAGGAGCGAACTAAGTACAATCGAGGAGGAAATCGACGATGAAGACTTGCCCTCCAGCTGGGGCGCGCCCTTATCATCGTCATCACTCATGGAAGTGAGTATGAATGAGAGCACAGTACTTTTGTAAATGAACCCTGTACGCTTCAGTGTGGCTTTAGTCATGAGTCCATGGCGAGCTTGTTATCCTTGACATTCATATTATATCAATGCCGACGTGCCCATGCTTAATGGCTGTTTTAAAACACCTCCCTAATAATGCAAACTTTGTAATCGTTTACATATGCTTATTATCGTACGAGTACACTCTCTTGCCCTCATTTCTGTGTGTATGAAGTAGATGTGTCCTTCATCAAAATATCTAGTGAAACGTAGCGTCTAATGAGATTTGTCTTGAAGGCTTATTACAATAGCGAATGTTCTGACTAAATGTAGCTGTGGTCTATACCCATTTACGAGCCCATTCTATCGCATTGCCGCTGGCCATGTAGGAACGACTGACGAAACCATAACACCTGTCATTTTTGACAGCTCTCGAAACTGCTTTACACCGCAGTGGAGGACACACGCTCATGAACGGAAAACGAGCCGTACTTGCCACCTTTCCCTCTTGAGCTGTCGGACCCTGTAATGACAGTCCCAAGTGCACTCTGCTCCGACATGGGCACATAATCGCCAAAAAGCTCGTCCATCTGCTCGAGCGTACGGCCCGACGTCTCGGGGTAGAAAAAGTAGTAACACAGCGCCGCGACGACGTTGAAGACGAAAAAGACGTAAAAGAACTTGAATCCCACGGCCGTGAGGGCCTGCGGCGAAAAGGAGACGAGGACGAGGTTGATGGTCCAGTTGGTAAACGTCGTGAGCGCGTTGCCGAGGGCGCGGATCTCGAGGGGGAAGATCTCGGCCGGGTAGACCCAGCTTATGATGCCCAAGGGCGTGAAGAAGAAGCCAAAGACAAAGTTCATGGCGACCATGCTGCGTAGTTGGTCTGCGTTGGAGCGGTCTAGGTACTGGAACTGGACGGCGTTGACGAGGAGGGCGGCGGCTAGGCCTACTGCTGACGCGATGAGGGGTCTTACGCGGCCTATGTGGTCGAGGAGCCAGAGGCCGACGGTGTTGTATATAATCCCCAGCGCGCCATTGATGCCGATGATCATGAGCGAAGTCTGCGTTCCAATGCCTAGGAGTTCGTAGATGCGGGGGCCGAAATAGTTGATTACATTAATACCCGAGAGCGGGGAAAACGCCTGGACGCCGCAGCCCAGGAGGAGGCGTTTCCGCCAGGAGGGTTTTGTGATGATGGCCTTCCAGAGATTGCCGTTCTCGCGCAGGGCGGACTGGGTGCGGACGGCGTGGCGGATCTCGTTGTATTCCACGTCGACGGCCTTTTCGTCGACGCCGACGCGGAGTTTGTCGAGGCTGCAGCGGGCTTCGGCGTAGCGGCCCTTTTCGACGAGCCAGCGGGGAGATTCTTCGAGGAAGTAGATTCCTGTTGCGATGATGATGCCGGGGATGCATTGGAATGCCAGTGGGAAACGCCCTGATGTGGTGTGTCAGTCACATGGTCCTTCGCCGTTCGCCAAACAGGTTCAACACCAGAAGAAAAGCCTTCACGGGAAAGGGAGCTCGTAATGCTGCAGAGGGGAAGTATCAGAGGGGCCTCACATGAAAAGTCATTCGTCACAAAGGAACACCCATAACCCAACCATTGCGCAACCAGGAATCCCCAACTCAGCATCCACTGCAACAGACCCGACAGTTTCCCACGATGTCTCGCCTGCGCGAGTTCCGAGGCGTACATGGGAATCGTAGACGTCAGCACACCTACGGCCGTCCCGCCGACGAACCGCCCAACAATGAGAGCGACGAGATTCTCCGACCCGGCCTGGAGCGCGGAGCCCATGATGGAGATGAGCGAGCCGAGGAACACGGTGTTGCGGCGGCCGAGCCAGTCGGAGCAAATCATGTTGATAATCGTGCCGAGGATGGCGCCGCCCTGGAAGGAGGATACGATGCCGGCCGCGACGGCGTCAGAGGGGTTGAAGTAGGATTTGAACGTCTGGAGGGCGATTGTGGAGGTGATGATGCCCGAGTCGAAGCCGAAGAGGAAGCCGCCCGTGGCCAGGAACGCGGCTGACCAGATGGTTACATGGCGGCCCATACTAGCTCGAGACTATGGGTAGTGGGTAGTAGTTGTGAATGTGACCACACTGTTTGATTCTTCTTGAGAGAAGAAAGTTGGTGTGTGTTGTCAGTTGTCTCTGATGTAACCGGTTCCCTGAAATGGGTAGCTTGTATGGACCGGACGGCGTGTAAGTGAATCTGTATCATGCGAAAACGGCTCCAGTTGCCAACGTTGTATCTTGGCAACGGCTTGTTCTGTCTACTCTTCCCCACGAATGGAGACAACAGAAGAGGTGAAAGCAGAGAAAAGAAGAGAGAAAGACAAAAGAGATCTAGGGCAAGACGTATGGGAATTCGGATGCATTTCTAGAAAGGCCTGTGCGAGAGCTGGGTATGTTCGGAACGCAACCTCCCAGCTATAAGGTAGGTGAATGACGGCGGGAAGTGGCGGGCGGGAGCTTATTGCGTAAGTCGTCCAGTCTTTTGTCTCCCCTTGAGAAGAAAGAAGAGGGAGGTAGGGTAGGCAAGCGAGAGTGAGAAGGAGAGAGAGGTGTGAGGTGTGAAACTTTTCGCGATAGGATTTCCCAACATAGTCAACGTTGAACCGACGGCCGTTGAGCTGCGAGATCTCACGCTTCTGTCTGTCTTGCTTCAGTCTTTGCTTCCTTCTACGCACTCTGTAGCAGGACAAGGTTAGAGTTCCCGGTGCCTTTCTCTCTCTCTGAAAGCACCAGCGGTCGGTATTCCTGCAACCGCACAAACGAAAGACGCGCAACGCAAGTCCGTTTCCTGCACTTCCCGCCCCGGCTCCCCGCCGCTTGAAACCGTCACCAAAACGTAAATCTTGCGATGATTATCATATGCTTTTGTGATACCTGTCTTCGGTCCCCGTCCCGGTCAATCTGTCCATCTCTATTGTGTCCCGATCTTCTTCTCACCTTTATAAACTCACATGTCTTCCCGACTTTCATTCCAAGGTTCTGTTAGCCAAGGTATGGACTCCTTTCCGGCTCAAGATGTTTGGGGCTGAGCCAACCCCAACCGCTTTCCCGTCCGCCCGCCGCTCCGGGGATGGATGGATTGTCAAATACTTTTTTGGCCGTCGCTGGCATGCCGCACCCTGTCTTGGTACCCCAGCTTGCCCAGTATTCTACCCGTCTCCCCATGTGGTTTTTTCCACACTAAAACATTGTACTAAAACATTGATGTTTCCTTGTCAAAGAGGCTGCTCTTCAGACGCATGGACTCGGGCGAAAGAACGGACGATGACGCACTTGGTTTTCCGGGCTTTTCCTCACTGATGGGGATGGAGGGGTAGGGGGAGCTTTTGCTTCGCTGCTTCGACACAGACCATCATGTCCCGAAATAGGTGAGGAACGCAATACTCGCCGCATTGGTAATCAGAGTTGGAGCATGACTCTTGTCATAGCTTCAAGTTCGGGCAGCTCCATGTTCTACTCGTCAAATCGTTGATTCATGTACTACCTCAAGGTCGGCGGGGTTATATATACAGCCGAACCGGAAAATCCGCCAGGTTACTGTCACAGCTACATCCTAGCTCGCGTTTCCCCTGCTCCATTCCTCCCCTCCAGCTCGCAACGTTTCTACGCGCTAGGCTCGGCCCATTCGTAAGTGGAAGCTTGCGGGACGCCAAAGTTGGGCGTGCCGTCCGCGTTGGCGGTGATGGGCTGGACCATGACATAGCGGTTGTCGTCGCACGCGCCGTTGGCATTCGCCGTTGCGTGGAAGGTGATGTACGTCTCCGTCTCGTCGGGGCTGCGGAAGAAGCTGTTGTGGCCCGTACCAAAGTTGCCGTTGGCCGCCGTCAGCTGGCACCCATTGCTCTTTGTCCAGGCCGAGGGGGAGGACGGGTCGGTGACGCCGTCCCACTCGAGCAGGGCGACGCAGTAATCGGGCGTCCAGCAGTAGTTGGCCGAGTAGGCGATGTACGTTTTGCCGCCAAAGTAAAGACCGTAGAAGCCTTCCTGGACGGGGACCTCGCTCTGCTCCCAGGGCTGGTCGGGCTGGGAGATGATGGTGATGTTGGGCGAGGCGGAGATGTAGTCGTCGTTGAGCTTGCGGACGCAGGCGGACTGGTGCGAGACGCCAGTCATGCAGGAGTAGACAAAGTAGTTGCCCCAGTCGTTGAAGCGGACGACGGTGCCATCGAGGGACCAGTCGTCGGTGACACGGCCTGCGTAGGACCAGTCATCCCAGGGAGAGGCGCCGCCTGGATACGAGTGTAAGCATATGTCCCTTCTATTGACTTCATGGCATCACAACTTACCCTGCAAGACATGCATCCTCTGGCCATCCAAGTTACCGTCGTTGCCGGCGGTGTAGTAGAGGTACCATCTACCGTCAAAGTAGTGGATTTCGGGAGCCCAGACGCTGCAGCATCGCGTCGGGTTCGAGTCGGAATAGATGACCTTGGGCGTGGCCGTCTTCAAGCCTTCAATGGTGGTGGCACGCGCGAGTTGGAGGTTGGTCCACTCGGTCGAGATGAAGTAGTAGTACCCATCGAACCACGAGATCTGAGGATCACCACCGCCGGGGTTGCGGATGGGGTTGGTATAGGCGGCAGCCGAACCGAAGAGGCTGAAGAGCCCCAGTGAGGCGGAGACGATCTTGGAGAAGATCATGGTGTGTTCCGGGTCGGTGGACTTGACTGCAAGATCGTGCCTTGCTTCAGGATACTACATGATGCCTTCCGACGGGAGAGCTTCACGCATCTTTATAGGTCCTCGAGTCGTAACATCGGCGGACACGAAGTTGCAACGAGACTACCGACATCATCAGTTTCCCGAGCGTTCCTGGGGTAGATCCACGCGGGAAGGTATTTCGGTGGCATGGTTGCGGTCCCCGGTGGATGCTGTCAAGACATGCTCAATCGTAACTGGAGCGCTTTCTTCCACATGTCGAAAGCTGCTCGAGTCAAGACGAACAGCAAGGGACGATCCGGCAGCAAACCCAGAGTAAACCCCATCAATCAATCCATCTCGGTGCTCGGTTCGGGAAAGACAACACTCAAGATGCGGAGAGGCCAAGACCTGCTAACGGGCGAGGGCACCCGATGTCGACGTCGACTACCGGTACCTTGCTTGAGAGAGGTTACACCGGATTGGCGCGCGAGAAAATGAGAGCGACGGGCGGCGGAGATGGCGGGGTAATAAACGAGAGAGCTCGCACTAACTTCTAACAGACGAGCCAAGATTCTTCTCCCTCCCTCTCTCTCCAGACTCTCTCCAGTTTCTCTCACTTTGGTCATGTTGTCCGGGGTTTGGAGCCACCGTTGTCACCTTAATCTGTGGGGTTCGTCCGGTCATTGTCACCGAGGAGGCCTGCGAGAAGCCCCGGCATCTCCCACATTGTCGTTGTTTACCCCGTATTCGCCCAATCTGTCTCCCATGTCAATGAAGCTCGAGTCTCGCGCCGAATCCACTTCCAAGTTTCTCCGTGGGCGCGTGATAGTCCTGCCCCGCGTATCTGTGTCTCGTCAGTGGTCACCCAGCCTCTCGAGGCGGTGCACATGCACGGTGGTTCCATCGTGAATTCTTTTCCCAAACATACTTCTATCAAGCGCTTATTGACGTCACAACCCAGCTTGAAGTCTTTGCCATGGCCCTAGCCTCACCCATTTACCTCCTGCTGTGGTGCGCTTATAGATACAGAACTCAATGTGATTCAATTGAAAGGAACATGTGCTATTTACGAAAGCCATTACAAGGATAAACGGAACTAATTGCAGTCCACTATGCTTGGCACCGTGACGATCCTCAGCTACCTTATGCGACAACTCTCTCGTAGCCCCGAGGCTGTCGCGAGGCAAAAACGCAGCACATGGTAAAGTAATTGACCGTCCGATTGAACGGCTAGATAGATTGGTCGCCACGAGGTACGAGTAAAGGCACTCCAGAGCTCCGTCAAGCTCTCCTGACTCTGAACGATCGATCCTCGATGTGATTGTTCAACTGTGTGAGGTCTTTCTATGACGGTGACTACGGAAGCAATTGATCGCAGCAATCGCATGTGTAATCGACTGTAATAGTCAATTTGAGCCCGGATGGCCACTCGCATGGGGCGAGTAAATGACCCCTTCAGCCGTCGACGCTAGGTATCTTACTCTCTTTTCCTCAGTGGATGCAATCGGGCAGAAGTAGTAGCCCTCGATAATTGATAGACTTGTTTAACTACGCTCTCCCTAGTATCCAATGTTTTCTTTCGGAGTCTCAAGTGCACTAAATGCGAAGCTGTTCTTGTTCAGCGACTTACAACCGTGGCAAGGCACAATGTCTGGAAACTGCTGAGCTACCCAGCCTCCAAGATGGCCCAAACCATAGGGCTTGCCCTTGTCCGCTATGAGCCCCGTCACATAAACAGAAAACCATAGATCTTACTGAGAAAATGTACTGTACTGCTTGGCAGCATTTGGGATCTGATGTTTGCTGAGAAAGCCATATGATTGATATGACATTGCCGCTGTTTATGATGGCCGCACTAACTTACAAAGCAAGGTCTCATCGCGATTGGTAGACTTGGGGTGACTCCTAGCGGGGATTACCTCATCCATAGAGCTATGTTACCTCAAGCTGTTTACACCAGTCATATGTATGATTTTGATACAGAGCAGATCCTCGGCCTAGGGTAAGGTAGGTAGCAACAAATAGGCAGTGGAATCCGAGGTTGAGAGAAGGAAACGCTTGAATGGATGACGAATGGCAACGGTACGAATCCATAGAACCAGGTATCGAACTTTTCCGTAAATATCAAGATGAAAAAGTCACTAAGGGGCGTTGGTTACGAGCCGGAAATTTGAGCAACAGACAAGCCCCATGGCGAAGCAGTGTCATTTGACTGAGACATGTCCTCACAAGGATCCATGGAATTAACAGCAAAACCATACCATACACAAGCAACAAGCTTTTGAAAGGAATGCATTCGTCCAAGTAAGTTGACAGCCGACGATATTTCGATCACTATTACTTTCCGTCTTGCTTTACCTGAGACTCTGGCGCATTTGCTGGGCAAATCACACAGGACATCACATCCAAAGCATTGAATACCTCACACATATTATTGCTCGAACCCCAGACTAGCACGAGGACACGATTTTTGACATGGCACCAATAGCACTATGCTCAAGTTGTTGATGCTACTCTGTGTTCGATATGAGCAGCTTTCGATTCTTCAGTGTTGGTCTCAGCCCTGGAATCGGATCTTGTAATTGGCTAGTGCCGGAATCTCGTGGTGACTGCATGGAACTGGTGAGCTCGCACGCTAAGCCACATGGGAAGAAATTAGATCTGAGACATCGATCAGCAAGATTCTCTCAAGGTGAGATGTTTGCCCTAGCTTTGATCATGATGGGTGACACGCAGCAAGCCAGCTTCCGCTCCCGTCTCTCATGACACGATATAAGAACCTTGCAACATGTGAGTGTCTCTGACACCTCTGATTTGGGTGCGTCTGCTGAAAATCCGATGGGTTTCGGAATAGTAGTACTGGTGGTGTCGTCACTTCAAGATTTCATTGGTCTCTTGGCATTGGGGGATCTTCGAGTCTAGGACATATATGGAAGCGGTCCTTTGTTGTCTGCGGTAGATCAACGATCAACGCATTTGTAGATATCTGCGGGAGGAACTTTGGGAAGAGTTTTATGTCATCGTATCTTTCCAACTCTATCAAAGAGCTTAATAATTGGCATTCCTCGCAGTCGTGGCTCATGAGCGAAGCTCAATAGTTCAACTCAAATTAGTACCAGCTATATCAACATGACATCTCCGCACGCCAATCAAGAAGCTCTCAAGATCATTCTTACAAAGTTGAATCGTCTCGAACTTCGCTTCAATGAAATAGACGGCAGGCTAGGTGCCATTGAATGCTCTGTGGTATCTGACACCAGCACAAACCTTCCCAGCAGCCCAACGGCTCGACAGTCCGTGTCAAGCTGTACATGCACCCTCAGCGATATTCCTCAACCGCTATTCCAAGAGAATTACAAACTCCGGCAATGTTCTGCTTCGACATACAGAGCTTCGGTTGATAGACTACGCCGTCGCTTCGAATTCGATGCTTGCTCTGAGATCGCCCCAAGAATCTCCGAGGAAGAAGTCGTCTCTCCAGAATTCGATTTAGAGGAGATAATCGACGGCTACTCCGATGCTCAATCCGTATCTGTCTACCCGTCACGCTCGGTATCACGGTTTTCGTTTGGTCCTCGCGAATCGAGGCCGAGTCGCGATATTCCCGATATTCCCTCTCTACGATACGAAGACTTGATGGTTCATGCTGAGCAGACTTCGTACACGGAGTCAAGTAGACGGAGCAGAAGAAGCTCAGCGACCGAAACATTCTCAGAGACATACGACTCGCCTAGCACGGCTGCGACCTCATTTACTCAAGGATCATGGGCTGGCAGCAGGCGAAGCTCGACTGCGGGCACTTGCAGCAAAAGAAGGGATTCACTTCGACGCGCCGGTACCCTAAAAGTCAATGAAGGCCCAAAGACAGAAAACAGAAACATAGACGCTCCCACGGGGATGGAACAGGACCCGCCTGTTGCTACAAAGACAAATTTCATGAGCGCTGGGGAACGAGAAGACGTCTTGCGTGTTTACCAGAAGGCACAAAAAAGGGCTAAGGCATGCGTCGCTTTTGGCCAAAGGTTCATGTACAGAATAGGGAAACGCATGGTGAATATGTCAGCAATTGGAAAAGCTTGATTGTTCAACAGAAAAGTCCAAAACATCATGCGTCAGCCATCCTGTAGCAGTGACCACGTCGAGGGATAATTCTTCGGCAAGTAGTTCGGACCGCGACCCCGGAGCTCATCAACTTTGGCACTGCCGGCGATACTGTCAGAACGTTTGTGTTCCTTCAGAGACAAGCGCTACCCTGCTTTCCTTATTGTTCGTAAGAACCACGACTGCAGCAAGCGGACTCAGCGCTTCAGCATTTCCCTCAAAGGCTCGCTTGCTCTCGCATACCTGCTTATTGAATTGACCAGTCAGAGCAAGATATTACAGCGAGGAAATGGGAAATGGATTCTGTTTCCATTGTGATGTTCCATGGCATGTCTCGACAAAAACTCTAAATCGCGCTTCAAAGACCTTTCTCTTCGGATCCCGCGGCAATCAACCAAGCAAAACCCAGGCCGCTCGTCGTCCCTATCAAGCGGGATGATCATTCGCCCAAACAAATCGTCTGAGCGCAGCATGGAGGTGGCATTTGCACGGTTGACACGAGGCCAATCGGGCAGCAAAAGTGTAATCAGTCCAATGGGCCGTACCGAAGTGGTGGTGTGAAGTCTGAATGTACTCTGTCTTTCATTTCTGCGGGGATCTTGGCCATGGATTCGACCCCCTCAAGGAGCACGACCTGCTGCCCAGCCTAAAATAAGTTTAGTTACATCGGTGGCACGTAACCTGCAAGAGGGCTTGATTGAACGTCGTTGACTTACGGCAAAATGATGAATCATATGGCAATGAAGCATACTAGCGGCAGGGAAAGCGATCTCGTAGCGAATGACTGTCCAGTCCCCAGTGCTATTTCCGAGTCTGCAGCCATCTCGATTAGGTGGGTTAATGAGATTAAAGTGCTTCCCCATGCCGCCCTCGCGAATTGCATCCTCGACTGTTGGCCACGGGAAGCCACCAGTCCCTGTGCCGATGACGAAAGCCTTGTTGTTGTGCTTGTGGAATGGATGTTGAGATGTGACATTGGCGCCGTTCTCGAAGATGATGTCCACAACGGTGCCATTCTGAAGCGCACCACCTTGAGTGTTGTCTCCGTAGGTTGTCTCGCCACGTGATTCCTCATCCCACAGCAAGGGTGGAAGCTGTTGACGGAACGCCTGGTGAGGACCGATGTTTAATGCCCAACTACTGGGGCCCGTCATGTTGACGAAGAATTTGACGGTGTTATCTGCCTTGGGTGGAGGAGCCCGCACTGGGTAGGGTGCAAGCTTAGTCTCGTCCATGGCTACAGATGATGACGAGATCAGGGTTCCGTTGAGGTGAACCCAAGGCTTCGTATTAGGGATCTCTTGCTTCAATTCGTTGCCTTGGTCAGCATAGCGGAGAATTCCGAAGCCCTGAATGACCTGCTCTGGACGAAGCGATGTCAATCTTATGGCATAGTCCCCAGGCTTCTGATTAAGGCGTACGAGAATGCTATGTATATCTTGTCAGCGGTCCATCGTAAGGCGAGGCCATTCTCACTTAGAAGGTTCCTCACCTAATGCGCTCTCCAAGATTGCAATTGGCAGCATGGACCTTCTGAGGATGCACAAACTCTCCATCAGCGGCAACGACGTAGAACTCATGCTCATCCACGCTGATTTGTAGCTCGTGGTGGGCTCCAGAATGAATGAAGTTGATCCAGATCCATTCTTCGCCGCTGTTAGCTTCGAAGATCTCTAGATCAGCAAAGGTCGGCTGGCAAGTCTGTTCGTTTGCGAATTCCTTCTGACCATTTTGAGGTAAACAGCCAAGAGAGTTTCTTCCTGGGCCACCCACAGAATCAAGCAGTTCCCTTGGATGGCACACCGTCCTTCCCTTGCCGTTGAGAACGATTGAGTTGCTGCACCATGGAACGATACCAGTATCCCGGTACATAATCAGCAAGATGTCCATGGGCTCGGCATTCCAGTCACTGATGACGACGTGCTTGGGATGCTCCTCAGCTCGCTTCATGCCCTCAATGTCCCTTGGCGAGGATGATATCAGCTCGTAAGGTCTTGGCCTCCATGCTGCAGGTGCAATCCAGATCGGTCCTCGCATGCCATCGGCAAACGCAGGTCCGAAATGGCCATGATAGAAATAGCTTCCATACTGTTGCTGAACTGTGAAGCGGTACGTGTAGGTATCTCGAGGTTGGATGGAGTACTGTGTCACACCAGGGACTCCATCATTCCAGGGCCGGTCGATTTGGTAGATGCCATGCCTGGTTGTGTGTAAGTCCAGGTAGGATGAGAGGCCACAATTGTGGATTGGCTGGGGAATACATACCAATGCATGGTCGTTTCAAAGGCGAGCTGGTTGTCCAAGAACACCTCAACTTCGTCGCCTTCCTCCGCTTCGATGAGGGGCCCTGGTGTCTCATTGTTGATAGCAAAGACAGGTCGGCCATGTCCGTCCCCAACATCCCATTTGTTCGTAATAGTAAAATTATACCGCCTCGTATGAGCTGTCAGGCTCACACCGGCGAGCAAAGACAAGATTGCACACTTTGTAAGAGCTGCCATGGCTGTCTTCCTGGTGCGAAGAGAAGCAGAGGAAATCACTCGAAAGACTACCCAACACTCTTCTTTACGGTGCCCAACTTGTCCTCTTTTACGGCGTTCTTCCCGGGCCGGACTCCTGTCGTCCAGGTACCCCTACAACCATCCGATGCAACCGTTAGAGTTTACCGAGTCAGGGGTACCAGCCCGCTTTCCCGCAACCTAGCGCCACGGAAACCGTTCAACATGCTTCCAATCGGTTGGAGTTTACGGAGTGCAGGCGGAGTATCACTTTAGAGTTCAAACAGCATATCTGCCCCGTTCTTCGAGGCCTCTACGCTCGGCCGAATGTCCCCAATTATCGTGAGGCTCCATACAGATCGGTTGCAAACCCCTGGCAGACCTCAAAGTGCCGAATCATGATCAACGCAATGCTTTACGAAACAGGGTCGTGCCCCTTTGCCACAACACCTTTGGAAAAGCTACAACGTTGCAACTCACGGTCCGAAGGACAACGGGGAGACCTAGCGTCTTCAAAGGGGCGATGAGTAGTCAGAAATCTGACTACCGAATTATAAATCTGACTCAGGACGGGAAAGACCCCAGGAGATGTCATGTCCTAAGTCCGCAGTCGCCACGGCCCCCGTGGTTGTTATTGTCGAGCTGCCCAATCCAAATTTCTTTCGTCTTTCCCCGATTCCCCCGGCTTAGAAATTTCCAAGCTCAGCCCGGAAATGGAATCAAAACAGCAGTTACTTGACCAAACACAACTCGGCGTTTCTCGAGAGAAGTCGGGGAACCGTTACACTCGAAATGTTTGGATCTCTGGCTTGTCCACGCTATTGCTCCTCGCCCTTACTGGGCTGTGGAGGAATGGGTACCCGCTCACGGGGCTGTTCGGTAGCTGGGGCCGCCACGACCCCAGTGGACAAGACAGACTCATGAGAGAGTACACGCTCCAGTCTGGAGTGAGATGGATGAACCCAGGTTTGAGCCAGGCGTACGATCAGCCCTATGGAAGTAACTGACATGGAAGTAGATGGCGGTCGATGGAGAGTCATGTTCGTTTGCAACGGACAAACGCCTTGCCCCACGCTGTACGCTGAAGAAGGCGATCTTGTCGCGTTGACAGTCAAGAGCGATGTCTATGCTCAGTCTTCCATTCACTGGTCAGGATCTCCCCAAGTTTTACTTTACTTTCTGCTTCCATATTGACCCATCTTCAAAGGTCCGGCATTGGACACAAGGCGTAAGTGTGAAAGCAAACCCAGCAATGTAGCTCAAACTGAATAAGGTAGAACACTAACTCGGCCGATCATAGAACTGGAAGCTGGAATGACGGTACCGCCGGGATATCTCAGGTTCGACAACACCTAGCGGCTCAAATGTGCAAAGCTTACACTGATGTGACAGTACCCTATTCTCCCTCGCGGCAACTTCACAAGCGTGATTGACACGACTGGCTCGTGGGGTCTCAACTGGTACGCTGAGCACACAACTGCTGCGTCTGCTGATGTAGGCCTCTTCCTTCTCCTACCTTATGTCACACACTTCTTTCGTATGCTTGAAGTCTCCATCTTTTAACATTTCCTCTTTACCTTCTCCTTTTCTTTCCAGTACGAACTTTCTTCACAACTGCCAAAATACACCAGTCTGACTTCGAACGCAAGGGCTTGTATGGTATGGTCTATGTAGCGCCAAGCCCATCTCGACCTCGTCCCTACCGTCTCATCACGAAAAATGACATCGAGCTGCGAAAAATCATGGAGGCCGAGAAGCAAGTCCGACATCTCGCTATCAAGAATCACCAACACCGGGACACAGGCTGGAAAATGCTCCGCATGCGGGCTGAAGGGTCGGAGTTCTATTGCTATGATTCGATCCTCGTCAATGGTAAGCAAGTCCATCCCCAGCAGAGCTTTCCACCACTGACTTGGGCTGTGTCTTGTAGGAAAGGGCCGTGTACATTGTCGTCAACCGGGATACGAACAATTGAACGGACATCGCTTGGATGAGACAGGCTGCATCCAACCACCTGGTCTCCCGGAAGAATCATGCACACCAAGTGAGGCGGACTATGAGGTTTGTGATGTCTGCCTGTGATGGCGCGTCAGCTATGAATGATGCTGATCACAACGCTAGGTCCTTGAGACGGAAGGCAGAGAATACATGATGTTGAACCTGATCAACATTGGTTTCGAGCACTCCGTCATGGTCTCCATCGACAATCACAAGCTGACTGTAGTTGCGAATAATGGTGGTTTCGTTGTTCCCGAAGAAGCCGATGTAAGTCATCCCATTTAACCCTTGCCATCCTTTGACACAGAACTTACAACACCTGATAGTCTGTCTACGTGCCCAGCGCTGGAAGGCTTACCGTTCTGGTGAGACTAAACGCGGAACCTGGAGACTACGCCATGCGCATCTCATCCACAAGCCAGATGCAGAACCTACAGGCCTACTCGATCTTGAGATATCCGGTATGTCTACCATTCTCATGATCAAGAATATTAGCTGACACAGCAGACGTGGTAGGGTAGCCGCAGACCCATCTACGGCCAGCCGATGAAGGTTTCACAGCCAGGTTCAATCGACGACATCTGTGTTTTGCCTGATGGTTCTACAAACCAGGGCTGCAAAACTGTCAATGGCCAATTTCTACCGCCTTACCCTGCCACGCCACCTCCTTCGGCCAAGGGTTTGCATCCAGAGAGAGCAGACTTCACGTTCCATCTCGCTGCCGGATCTCAAACTTCGCCCACGGAGGCTCATGTGCCAGAGTTCTACCTCAACGAGAAGCCTTGGCAGTTATTCCGCTCGTCTTTGATGCCTCTTCTATTTCAGGCAGCCAACGGGTCTGGTTCTCTCGGATCTCTGGGCAAGCCCATTATCGAAGGTATCCCAATTGGCTCCGTTGTTGATCTCATCATTGAGAACAACCTGAACGACACGGTTCCACTCTACAAGCATGCCGATCCTGCCTGGTTGCTTGGCGCGCAGCCGAACGCGAGGTTCTCGCACAAGAGCGTGAAAGAGGCTCTTGTAGGTCGTAGCCACCTATCTAAGTCCCTCAACCTCAAGGACCCGGCTCTTGTCACAGTCCATGACCTCCCTCCTCTGGGATGGAGTGTTCTACGATTCAAGGTAACAGCGAAAGCCGCGACTATGATTCATGCCGTGAAGCTTAGATATTTCGCGGTAAGTAGCTTGAACCTACCCTTACACAAGTTTTCATTTTGGTAACCAGGCTGACAACTTTGTGATTCTTAGCTGGGCATGTCTGCGCCGATCATGGAGGGCATCCTGAGCAATGACCCTGCAGAATTTCCCGAATCAGCCATCAATCGCCCACATGTGGAATTTGAGCCGAAGAACGATGGTGTATTTGGCTAGACCATTCTGAAAGCGTGTAGATCATAGAAACGCAAGGTCTGTCGCTTATCTTGTCTTGTTGGTCATTGGAAGTGTAGGCCGGTCACTTTCGGATCACGCCGAGTTGCCGTCCGGTCCGAACGTGGGATGGCAAGGATGGTGCGAAACATCGGCAAAAGTTGAAACGGCAACATGACCTAACCAGAAACATCAACACACAAGAAGAAAACGGCGCAACCGATGCTTTGAGACCAGCTATTCAGGCTGCTCTAGACCTGGCAATATTTGAGCATGCGCTGTTTATGGAGCAATGTTAACTAGAGTAGTGTACTGCTGCGCTGTGTGCTATTTGATGTAATTTGGTTTTTCTATCCCAACTACCATTGCGATGTGTGAACAGAGTTCATCAGATCTCTAAGCGAACAGACCGAAACCATTGTCGTCTGAAGTTCATCCCTGCTGGAACAACTAGCTCACGTCACAGCCGCAAATCTGCGATAGTGCCCCTACAGAGTCATTGACTCTGCCCTCGTACAAATTACCCGTCTTGGCCTTCTGGCGTTGCATCTAGATTCAACACCTTACGTTTTGCTGTTCTCGAGGCCTTCGTTCACCATATCTTCCAGTTCTAGTTTGTCTTGGCAGGCCCAAGTAGATGAAACTTTATTTTTACTCTACTCAGTAACTCTATTGCACCTACCTCTTCGTCAACGCCAAAATGTTAATCGCCAACATCGCCTCGGCTCTGTTGCTCTTCTCCGGGCTTTCTGCCGCGGTGCCAAGCCCCATACTTCCGCAATCGAATGACAACATCCTAGAAATCCGCGCGTCGAAGGATGTCAATCCGGCAGCCGTCACTGGCACTACGTGCACAGACAAGAACGCGTAAGTCTACATCCATACTTAAGATGCGCAGGAAGCCGTTGAGCTAAGGAATTATTGTAGCAAGATTGACACCCACGACATGAACGTCGCTACACTGGCTATCTGCGGCGGCATAGCAGGGTCCATCCAGAAATGCGGCGGCGCCCCAAAGAGCACTACGGGTGTATCAGGAACCGCGAAGTTCACCCTGAATCCGACCGCTTCTGGAGCCACGATCAATGTATCTAAAGGCCGCTGGGAAGGATGCATTCGGGCAGCGAGAGCAACATGCCCGAGTGGTAGTTTTGAGTCAACCTGCAAAGGAGGCGCAAGCACGGGTGATGTGGCCTTCACGCTCACTAATCCATAAACTTTGTTGTAATAGAATATATCAACGACATCAACTGGTATCACCGAAGCAAACTTGAAGCATTTCGCACCGAATCTTTGCTTACCAGCATGATATTCTTTGCTGGCTCTCCGATCATCGTGAGCTTGTCCGAAATATCCATTTGCTGTACACCGCGGAATATCGGCGAAGCGGCCATGTCGTGCTATGTACACCCAACTCTTTCTTGGCGCTAATTTGTGCTAGCGATGTCAAAGTCTGCTCGCAACTAAGGCCAGAAACAATGCCGAATGACTTTGGTTGTTAATGTCTCGATCAAATACTTGAGTCATCAAGTCTATCGCTATCTTGAAATCTTTGCGGCGGAATACAGCCGTCTGGTTATAAAAACATCTCAAAAAAAGCACGGCGGTAACTCCAACTTCCATCTGACAGACTTGATGAGGTGATAATGCAGTGCTTTGGCACCTCGCCTTGCTGAAATATAAGATCTCACATGTCCTTTTGTTCTCTCCATCTCTGTTTTCTGGAGAGAATTTGGAAGTAAATTCCAGAGCTTTCTCGAATTCTTGGTCCATTGGGGTGCTGAGATGTCTATAAGCAGCGTTGATATGTATTAGGAGGACAAAAGTAAATAATGCCCGCACTTCAAAGTTTGTTTAATCAAACGCAAAGCGAAAATAATAGCGACATGAGGTGCGATATTGCGGGATGCCGAAGGATCAGACCGCATTTAGGGACCATATTTTGGAAATGAGGCGAAGATCAAGTTCTGCCGCCCCTTTAACTCGCGCATCTTGGGAACGAGAGGTCTGAGTCAAGCCCAGGTGGCTAAAAGAGCAAAATATAATAACATGTTGACCCAGGATATCGAAGAGATACTAGGCGTCTGTAGTTATTCTTCTATTGAGGCCTTTCGCTCCGACAGATTGTGTATTCATCAGGCCTAATGTTCGTTGACATGAACTTCATTTCAGGATCTTAAGGATGCGTCACAATCAAGCAATTGGGAAACAGATTCTGGTAATGATGAAACTTCATCGAAGTTGCATGTTTAGTCTGTCTGAAAATCCCTATTACTATTGTCTAAGTTGGGCACCTGATTGCCGGGATTCCTGAGTTTTAGATGCTTGCCTTAGCAAAGTAGAACTGAGATACCAACTTTCAGTCTTGCCAATTTAAAGTCATTTACATACAGGCCTTGGCACAATAGATATAAGGACCGAGAGTTGGGGCCATTCAAGTTGCATCGCACCGTTCCTGCCGACTTGGCAATCTTTGAGTCTCAGCAACCTTCGATATCAAGCAAGCATTTTGACTGAGTCTTTAGCTTCTTACGTGAACCAATATGCGGTCTCATTAGAAGGCACAGCATTCTTCGCCGACTTCTCTTTTCTAGTTGAGTGCAAAGAAATTGAGAAGGAGAACACTTTAACAAAGTTCCTTTGGTGAAGATCCTCTCCCACAACCCGTAGCAAATCTAGCCCACATTGGAGGGGCTCTGTTGGCTGACATGACTCGATGAAGTTGAAGTTGGCATCACTACCTACAGTGTTCGTGATCAGTCGCCATTCTAGGTCCAGTAGCCCTTTGGCCCTTGAAAATTTCGCAAGTCTGACATCGATTGATGGACTCTTTGTCCTCAGTCAAAGTGTTTCATGGTTGGCTGGAAAGGCTTCCTCCTACTTTCGATTGAAGTCTGCTTGAGTTGCTGCTACTGTAGCATCGAGCACCACTGAAATATGACTAAAACAGCAGGTCAAAGTCACAGATGCGCTCAGGGGCGCTGGGTGGTGCCGTGTCACAAACGGTCGATCGTATTGCGATGCGATAGCGAAAGGGCCAGGCAGAAAATGGGGAAATAGTCGCCTTTGTTACGGATACCATTACCCAAGAAGTCGGGAGTGTTGTGTAAACTAACCATAAAGGCTCAGGGGAAGTTTCCGAGTACTTTAAATCACTTTAAATCACTTGCGGGTATATTGCCGCCAATCATGATGGAGGTCAGCAGGGAAGCGTGTCAGAGAATAATGGGGTCCGTGTGTGATCTTTTGACTAAGGCATATTCTGTCAGCGTTTAGCGAGTGGCACGTTACGGAATACGGGTCCTTCGGTTGCGTGGGATGAAGCCATCGTCTACTTGTAGATGTCCTTGGGAGGGGGCACCTTGACATCCGGAGAGAACGAGATCAGCGTCATTTTGAAGTGGAGGATTTGACGGGGAGAGCCAATATTGAAGTCATCGGCGTATGCGCCCTCTACTCGGGAGTTCGGATGAGACATCTCTGCTCCATTTCCCCTTGGACAAGTAGATGTGACTTATGGTAGCTCACTTACTTTAATCCTACAGCAGCGAGACGCCTGACTGGGAACAGATTCGGTTCATTTGACAATCTTGAAATCCATCAATCATGAGATTCCTACTCAATCTGTACCTACCGGGTCTAGAGTAAAGACTAGGATATTCTTTTCGAGGTGATCGATGCAGGGAATAACACGAATAAGGCCAGCGAGGGGCCAATACGCATCGTTGCTGATTGGTGTATTCTGCCCACCGTTTCATCGCAAATTGCCAACACTTTCTTAGAAACACTCCATCGAGCCCCCATGGACGGGCCCAGTCTCAACTAACAAGGGCCACCGCGTTACGCCTCTCAACACCAACTGCAAATTGTCTGCACGCAGTAAAGGATTTCGCCCTGTGGACCACTGGACTGTGACCAGGCCGGACTGTATCCGTAGATCACCAGGTCACCGTGTGCGTGTGTGTTTGCCTGCTTTGCATCATACGTCTTGGCTCGAAGAGGAAATAATCCTTACCAGAGAGTCTTGGCGAAGTTGGCGCTTCTACTTACAAAAGATGGCGCCCCTCGATCGCTTGGACTGAAGAAGGAGTAGTCTCCGATCAAGTTCTCATCTATCTCGATTTCATTCTTTGCAAGAAAGCCTCTGTCTTTCTTCGTTCGCTCATTTGTTCATTCGTTCATTCGCTCTTTTCTTCAACGTACACATACAACAGGTTGCCCAAGATGGCCAGGTCAAACCAACTTCTCTTCACAATCTTCCTCGCCATCACCACCGGCATCCATGCGGCTCCTCAGGCAGGCGCCCCCAAGGTAGTCGCGCGTGCTGAGCCCGCCGAATTCGAGGCCCAGACCAAGGCCGGCCCCGGCGGCAGCGACTTCAAGGACTCGGCCCACTTCCGCGTCTACGCCGGCGGCAGCTCCGCCGATGATTCCCTCGCCATGCTCGAGGGCGCATACGAGTGCTTTGTCAACACCCTCGGCTGGCGGTCCTCTGGCCTCTCGTTCAACGAGGGCTCCGACAACGGCCCTTACTACAAGACCAACGTCTACTCCGTCTCCAAGCTCGACAACGCCGCTGGCGTGATGCACTCAGAGTACGAGTCCGGCGCCGGCTGGCTCGAGGTCGTCGACACCTACCTTGCCACCCCAGGCGTCACCGTCCACGAGTACGGCCACGCCCTGCACTACCATCAGCGTACCTGGGTCGACCAGGAGCGCACCGGTGCCTGGTGGGAGACGGTCGCCAACTGGGTTGCCGACACCTACAACACCTCGCCCCTCTGCGCCGACGCCCGCACCAAACACAAGTCCCCCGAGGGCCGCACCGAGTTCGAGGTCAACAAGGTCCTTGGCGACTCTTTCCAGGTCATTGTTGACGGCACCGTTGACTCTGGTAATTACTACCAGGCCTGGCCGTTCCTGACCTACCTCACCAACAACCCGGACAACATTGCCGGCCTCGGCAAGGACACGCTTCACCAGATGATGGTCCAGTACGAGGCGAACAGCAACGAGACGCCCCTCCACACCCTCAACCGCGTCGCCAGCAACACCACCGCCGGCGAGATTGTCGGCAAGTACTGGGCTCACATGGCTTACGTGGACATCGGCCACGACCAGGCCCAGGAGATCTTCAACCAGGCCAAGGACAGCGTCAACTTTGCCAACGTTGACAAGTCTGGCGACGGCTACAAGGTCAAGTCCGCTCGCGCCCCCCGCTACATGGGTGCCAACATCATGCCCCTTACGACCTCCGGCGGCAAGGTCGACGTCAAGATCACCTCGGCTGGCGAGTTCACCGCCCACCTCGCCATCAAGGGCTCCAGCTCGGTCCGCTACGTGCAGCTCGCCAACGGTGCCGGCTCCGCTGAGATCGCCAGCGGCGAGGAGGCCAGCTTGGTCGTTGCCAACACCCCCAAGACTCTGATCCAGTACAACGGTTTCCAGCTTGCTAGCAGCGATGCCAACAAGGGCCTGGACTACTCCTTCACTCTGACGGGCGCCACCGTCGCATAAGCGGCGAGAACGAGCGTGTGTGCTGTGTATCATTTCATGTACCATATTTCTCTTCTCTACATACTGGTAGCCACTGGACGAGGGCATGCATATACAGACCTTTAAGATACCACATTTGGTTAAACTCGCTTCCCGCCATGTGTGACACATTGTTCCCAAACCGTGACGATCCGAGCTGGTTGAGAGCACTGGCGCATGGGTCAGAGCCATGACACGATAGTAGCCTACGACGATGAGCTGACGAAATCCAACTCTTTCAAGGTCAGCGCCGTAACAACAATGGCGGCACCGACAACCAAGGCCATGGGACGTTGTATTAAGCTCCCGACCCAACTTCTTGGTTTCTCGAACACGTTGTCCGCGGTATCCGTGGGAGCCAGCCTAGATTTTCTGCCTGCCGTGGCGTTGATGTATCCTAGGGACCCCAGCTGGACAAAGCTTAAACGGCATATATGAATGCAATAAGATGCGATTCCGCCGAGGTAGTCTGCTCGTGTTTCCGGCATTGCCATGCTGTGTGCTATGATTGGAAGAAGTCTGAGTAATACCATCGAAATTACATTCGCGAGGAGGATCTTTCGGAGCAATGGTGAGTTTGACGTCGTGCGGCCGTGGAATCGCATCAACACGGCAGTATCGTAGAACAGCTCCGTCGCCAGGCCGGCGTAGATTAGATAGAGAGGTCTTCTTGGGCCCCGGCCAATGAGAAAGAGACCGAGGGATGAGAGCGAGAGGACATGATGGGTGACGTATTCAGGGGAGTAGCTGAGAAGTGGCAGCTCGGAGGTCCAGAGGATGGCTCGAGAGGCGAGGCAAACCTTGCCATTGGCGGTGAAGGGGCGGTCGAGCCCGAATATCTCGGTGGCGGAGGTTGTGTCATTGTATGCGGCGATACAGATGGTTGTTGTGATCAATGTCAAGAGAAAACCTAGCGGGAAGACAAAATAAGGAGCCAATTTGCGATGCTTGTCCGTCTGCAACGTCTTGTAGAAGTTTGGGTTTGCTCGTTTGACTATCTGATGTGCGCACCGGTTCGCAAGCTGATAGGCAACTAGGCCCGCGACGAAAAGTACCCAGTCTGGGACGGCCATGATGGTCGGATTACTCTGGTGCGAGGTATCACAATGCAGAGGGTGTCGACGATAGCCACGAGGTTTTATATGGCAAAAACACAGTGGTCGCGACAGTGAGAGTCTGCGACATATTGGGCCCGTTAGCTTGCTGACTGACATCCCTCTATCGGGCCTTCATGAGGTAGAAGCTTCGTGCAAGTCAGCCAACATGCGTCTTGCTGCCTTGTCCAGCGATAGCCGACCAGCGCCGTTGATAAGATATAACTGGCATCTCACGTAAGCCTCTATACGGCTGATGTGCCTTGCAGATATATTGCAGCATTCACAGTCTGTATGAGATAGCCGTAAAGAGAACAGAGACCACGTGCTACAATGCGTCAGTTTGAGTCGCAATTGGCCAATCTCAATACAAAAAGGTTGATAGCGAGGATGGGTAGCCAGCGGTTGGAAGATGTTATCCGCTCGAGCTCTCCAACATGTCATATCATGGACCGAACCGACTCCATAGCCAGTGCTGAAGCCAGAACTCGAGCGGAAAGCCCCAGGGTCACGGCACTTCCAGGTCTCGGCATTCACATGGGGCGGCCGTCCGATCCGGAGGTGGACCCACGGGGCCGGCGTGCCGCATGTCTGAAGGCAGGAATCTGTTGATTATGTTGAAAGTTTGGGACGCTAGAGCCTATCAATAGAGCACCACGAGGGACTGTCGATCTTGGCCGGCGTGCCATGTTCCCGTGATGCGGCTCATTTGTAGGGATTGCGGGAGTAGTGTTAATCTCGGGGGATTCCTTTGCCAGCTGGACAAGGATGATAGAGTAGGGATGGCTCTCAAGGCGATGCTTCAGTTTTCAGGTGATTGAGGTTGGAAGAGGAAACGAAACAAAGAAGCCCCGGGTCTATCGACGTACGGAGTCCATATTGGCCGTACCCATACGAATACTCGTACAGACAACAGAGACTGCACCCTATAGATGTGAAGAAGTCACGAAGAGGGAAAGACGTCGTGCCGGGTACGTACCTGATAGGCGCCGTCCGGGGATTTCGGGTGCCGTTGGGAGGTCAGGGGAAAATGGGAAACCTGAGGTTGCCAGGTTGGTAAGGTGGGCTGTGGTGCTAATTTAATGGAGTCTTGGCAGCTCGAAGCTGTCAGTTTTTGGAGCCGCAAGTGATTGGTCCTTCCGTAAGGTTCGTAGACGGTACGTACCGTGAGTGGCCGTGTGCTGCACTGTCAGGCAGCTACTGTGCAGCTGCCCCCTATTTGAGGCAGGAAATTGAGAGTTCCATCCAAATTCCCGATGGCCTTGGCACTGCGTAGCCACTGGCTTCGCTACAAGGTTTGGTGGAGCCAGTGGGGATACGTACAGTGTGAATGAGGACTAAGGTTAATTGCGGTCGAGACCTTCCTTCCAGGGCAGCCACGGACAGGTTCCTTCCTTCCTTCTCCAGCACTCCAGCAACCCAGGTGTTCTTTCCTTCTCCAGTTGCCAATCCCTCCCATCGGTGCCTTCCCAGATTCCACTGCCCGCTGTCCCTCTGCTTTTTGCTCAGCTCACTTCAGTGGCCATGTCACCCTCTCACTCACTCATGTGCCACTCTCACTCCCACACTCACTTTCACTCTGAATCGCACTCACTTTTGACCAAGACTTGTCAAGACACCAAGGCAGCCAATGTCTGGAAAAAAACGATCGCCAGTTTGACTTATCATCGCCCAAACACACGCGATGTGTTGGCAGCCCGGCGGCTCACACGGCAACCGGTGACACTCGCTCCAAGTCGCTCATATCCCCCGCGACGTCCGGCTCTCTACCGTCGTGTGATCTGCCTTGGCCGAACCGATCGCTCCTTGGCGTACATAAACAACACAATGCCCAAGCCTGCCGGTTATGCACCCAAGGCCAAGCTTGAAGAAAGGGATGTGGATGTGTGATGTTGCCCTGTTTTTTTGAGTTTATTCTGCTCTTTACGTCTCTTCTGTCTTCCATCGCGCGTGTCGGGACCTGTAACTCGTATCACGGTCTCATAATTCGTATTGAACCTGGCCTGTCTGCCATCTGACAGCTTGCCTTGCGCACAAGGCGAATGAGCTGAGCAGAGCTGACTGCCCGAAGTGAACTGGGCTGACATGCCATCCGAGGTGTTGCAGCTGACTAACTTTTATCCTGCAGCACAGTAGGTACTGACCTGTTGGGATGAGACGCAGACACGAGCTCTCACTTCTTAGTCCTTACCGACACACATCCAAACTTGCATTTGGATCCGATTCCAGCTATTGATTTGCTTTCGATTCCGTTTGTTTGCTTGGCATTCTCCGGCACTCAATCCCTTTCTGCTCTGCCACCTTTGTTGCGCTTCATTGTACTCCGTATCCGTACAATCAATCCTGCCCTTGAAGTTCACGTACCTGGCCTGGACCATCCCTCCAACGGCTCTTCCCATGTGTCGGACGGCCGATCGCTGCTCATCCCAAAACCGCGAGTCAACGATCAGCGGCCACTCTGTCCGACGCATCACAGAGCACCACCAGGCCTCAGCCTCTCAGTCGCACTCAACATCAATCTCCCTCGCCGGCCCTGAGACGCCATCGCCATCGCCAAGACGCTGCTGAGCCTTAGCTCTGAGCGACCCCTGGATCCATCGTGCCTCCGTCCCCGTTTGTGCTTTTCGGGGCTTCGGAGGCATCAACCATATCCACATTGAAGTCCATTGAAGGCAGGACTCCTTCTGCCCTCTGTAATCCCCTTGCCTAACCCTTCGGAGCGTATGGTGCCCGTGGGCCGTGAGTCGTGACAATCCCTCCCAAGTTCTAACTCCCCGTAGCCTGTAGGATGACGGGCAGAGAGAGGACTCCCGAGTCCCCGCGTATTTGGCGAGGAATGAGTCTTGGCAATGTTCGTTGTCGGGTAGGGATGGCTGGTCCTGTTTGAGAGAGGCTTTTTTGGCGTGCTCTTTCGCAGGACTCGTCGTCTTGGGTTGTCCTTGAACCCAAATGGCGTCTGGTCAATTGTATGTAGTTCGTCCCTATCCGTCTGTTCCCAGCCGTCACTCGCAAAATGTCCCATTGACATTGAGAGGTGAACCATGTCATACCCCATTCACCCAGCCTATCCATCCATCCATCTCTCTGGTTCTCTCTCTCCATAGGGGTTCACTCGGTTGGTGTGGTCCGTGTATGCATTCAACAGCCTGTCTTCCAGTTTCCGGGTCTCTACATACTGCATGAGGTGAGGTGATCCTTCGTGCTGCCCGCGTTGCCTGCCCTTGCAGATGGCGGAAGAGGCAAACCATGAACGGTGGGACCGTAACCGCCCTGTGAGCCTTGGATAGAATGGATAGTCCCGAGACTGGCGGCATCTCATGAAATCCATCTGGTCTATTTGGTCCAAAGGGGGCCCTTGCTGCTGTCGAACCTTGTGAAGGGTGCTCGAGTGCTGCCCGGCCCAGGCATCTTCTCAACTTCTCATTTGCTGCACAGCCCCGATGCCCAGAAGGCCAAGACTTTACCAAGAATACCAAGACTTTGGCGGCCACCAAGACTGATTTCTACCGCGTCATCTGTGCCCTCCTGTGGTGTATCTTCCGTGTCTGTTGATTCCCATTTTCTTGTGTTCCCAAAAAGCCCAGAGTTGCCGAGAAGGAAGGAAAAAGTGGCCTTGAAAGCCTATTTCCCCCCCTTTTCCTTCCCTTTCCCGTGCATCCTGATTCTGAGCTGTGAGAAGACAAAGCCGTGTTGGTTAACCTGCAACCATCCCCAACTCACACCCGTCCATCGTTTATTCCTCCACCTCAACCCGAATAAACACATACAGCTTGCACAACAAACTACCTACAACTTTCGCTTCATTTCTCGCCGCAGGATTTTCACTTTTTCATACCAGCCGAACTCCCAGTCAGGGAAATCAATCGTAGTAAATAAAAATCGACACTCGCTTCCGACGACGAATACGAGATTCTGACCGACCGATCGACCGACACCTCTCACCGCAACCACAGTCTCTTTTACGGCCCCTTCTACCTTTTGCGCCGCCCATTCATGAACAGTCGCTTCTCATAAACGAAAAACCTTCTTTTTCAAACTTCGACCCGGCTTTCATTTTCAGTCACAATCGACTCCTTCGGTTTCATTTCAACTCACTCGTCGTCACCCCGAACCCCTCCGACCGATAAATCGATTCGACCGCCTTCTCCACCCGATTCTGAGGGATCTTGCACTACACCTCATCAATCTTGTTTCCTCATTCAGCAGCGCTTTACGTCTTCTTCCGTAGACCGGCTCTTCGCCATGGTCGCTTCACTCGCTTCTGCCGCTTCGGCGGCACTCTTGCTCGTCGGCAGCCTCCCCGCCGTCAACGCGCAGTACACCATCGACACAACTGGTAAGCAAGCCGAGCACCTCTCACCCCACGATCATCAGCGCGCCCCACGATGAGATGCAATGCGGCCCATCATCCCGCAGAATCCCTCCTGCTAACACCGCTTCTTCCCCACGGTTCAGACAACATAAAAAAGTCGGCAAAAATGCTCGCATACGACCTTATCAAACAGTACAAGGGCAACCAGACCGGCGAGATCCCCGGCATCTTACCTGGCCCACCAACCGAGCACAAGGGCGACTACTACTGGTGGGAAGGAGGCGCCATGATGGGCACTTACATCGACTACTGGAAGCTGACGGGCGACTCGGCCTACAACGACCTCGTCATGCAGGGCATGCTTCACCAGACCGGCCCCAATGCCGATTACATGCCGCCAAACCACACCGCATCGCTGGGTAACGACGACCAAGGCTTCTGGGGCATGTCCGCCATGTTGGCCGCAGAGAACAAGTTCCCGAACCCGCCCGAAGAGAAGCCTCAGTGGCTGGCACTGGCGCAGGCCGTGTGGACGACGCAAGCTAGCCCCGATCGCCACGACGATACCTGCGGTGGAGGTCTGAGATGGCAGGTGCCTTTTTCCAATGCTGGATACAACTACAAGAACAGTATGCGACCCCCGAGCAAAATCTGGGTCCCTAGGAGG